TTGGTGCGCTGGAATGATATTTTTTTGAAATAGTTGTTTAACTACTGACAAACTGTTAGTAGCGTGGTCTTTACGAAAAATAAACGCGTGTGGAAAAATTTACTTTTGTATTGATAAATCAACATTTTTAGCACATTAGCAAAGGAGTCCAGTACGTACGTGTCGTCCTATTTGAGTCTCTTTAGCCTGAATGTCCTATCATACCACTGTTGTTGTTCCCTATGAGACACGAACCTAGTACCTTTCAATTCAAAACGCTATCGTGTTATTCGCCTAAATACTGAGTGAATATAATGTTTTAATACAATAATTACAAAGTCATTTATCATCATTATCTATAACGAAAACTCATCATTTCTTTTTAGTCATTAGTGCCTTCCTACCGGTATCCCGCGTTTTAAAGTGGACAGTCGGACATTTGTAGGTCAAGCGAAATAACGTCGTCCGGTAGCACAATTTCCTTAGACACCGAATTAATATCAAGACTGATTCAATCAATCACTCAATCAACAACAATGTGGAAATTCGTACATACGTACATCAGTGTTCAAGTTGCTATACCACATTAGCACAGAGATGCAATTGTCAATTCAAATCCCATAGTAGTAGACGTAGTGAAAGTATTAGCAGTAATCGGAGAGATTGTTGTTCGAAGATATTAATCAAGAAATGGAATCTAGTGGAATAAACTTAGAAAAAAAGATAAAGGTGATGAGGAACTTTGAAGATTAGAATTTGAGAGAGCACAAAGAATGAATGCACCTGAGCCACTACAAAAGTTTGTGAGCCATGACATTCAACGTCTGTAACCATTGATTACTATCATCTCGTGGGCCATAGTCATGTAGTCGACACCTACTAACGTGATTTAATCCAGTTGTCAGTGAATTCATGGATTTGTACCATGTTTTGGTTTTGCCGCCCCTAGATTTCTTCTAACCTATTCCTATATCGCTAAACATAGCTCGACGAGGCATTCGGTGGTTTGTTATATGTAACACATGTCCCAACCACCTCAAATGATGGAGTTTCACTTATTCATCTGTTGACCTGCTATCTTTATCTAGCACCCGTTTCCTAACAACTGCATTGCTTACTCCGTTGTCCCATGATACACGAGCAATTCTAGACTGATTCAACTCTAAAATAAACAAATTTTCTACATGACCATTCGTGGTTACATCGTTTGACAATAGGTTCGCACATTGCTAATACTAGCGCATTTCTCTTCAGTCTATCTGTTCATTAGTCCCTACATCATAAACGTTTTTTTCAAATGATGACTAAGCCATAGTTTTCACCTTTTTGGGCAGACATAATTAATCACTGTATCGTTAAACACTTGAATTGACGGTTCGTTTTGGTGTTAACGAGAAATCTGTATGAACTGATCCTAGTGTCTTGTAGAATTGAACACGCTGTATTGTAATTAATGTTTACGTAATAGCCAGTGTTATGTTGTGTGGTTAACTAGTCCACATTTTAACCCTTGACCACTGTATTGCTTTACGAGCGATGTTGTCTGATTGAGGAGTAGGCTGGAAAAAAGCTAGAAGCGGTCAAACCATATCATGGTCCAAATCCATGAATTCATTGATAACTGGACTGACTCATGGTAATAGGTTTAGATTATGTTTTTAGGTTCCGGGAGACAATTGTAACCGATGAATAGAAACCTTGAACGGTATGGTTCAAAATAGTTTGCAATGGCACAGATGCATCCTCTTCAATTATAATCGTGTGAATTCCTCATGACTGTTTTTTCTGTTTTTTCCAATTTGTTTCACTGACTTACATTTTCGAATAATTCTTCACTAGAATAATGTTGGGGACGTTGGATCGCCAGAACTCGCTCGATAAATGCCCTAATTGTGGATTTTATGTTTCCGAGCATGGGCTGATCAGTTACCCTTGAGATCGCATTTCCCCCCTGTTACGCCCGCACGTAAACACGTCAACTTGATATACTTGCAGTATTACGAGTTTACCTTAGTCGGAATACGAGAGCGAGGATCGAGGATCCGGCGACACGACATACTACTCAATCCGATTATCCCGACCACCCACATTGAGTAAAAATAAGAAGACTTCATATATGAAGTAGAACCCGTTTTCTAAAAGCATTGAGAAAGTAAGAGGTCCGAGTCCAAAAGAGAATCAGGATCACGGACTAGGGATCCGGGACCGGGTCCTGGTCCTGGTCATAAAACGTTACAGATAATGCGTATTTATACATTTTGGTCGGATAGGAAACAACATCGAAGTGTCTGTGACATTGACAGTTAAGACGACCAATAGGGAAGTAACCTTTGGAGTAACATTGATATCTAGGACGACCATAAATTGACCAGTAGGAATTGATCAACATTTCTCCTAGGATATTGGATGAATATCCTAATATCCCCAGGAAAATCCATGGCTGTGTATTTTAGTGTGCTAATTTTGTGACTCTCTCAAGGACGTTACTATGGTGTATAAATAAACGAGATTTGTGTGTGCTTGATTGCATTGTATGCTTGTTGGGTGCTTGTAGAATATACTTTCTACGCTATATCAAGACTTTTGGTTAGTCAACGGATCAGAGTAGCCTACCTGTACGCTGGTTCATTGTCTCGTCCTGGTTTATCGACTAAGGTGAACCTGTAATAGTTTCAAGCATTCCATTGTGACGATCATTACAAATATACTCCTTGAATAATATCTTCTAACGCAAATCTTTCCGATTACTGTTCACATTTCTTCTATCTCTAACAATATGAGATTTGAATTGAATTACACATTTTTGAAACCAAGAATCGATCAATGCTAGAACACAGTCAGAAACCTGGAAGCACTGGACGGCCGTTTCATCCGGGTATGGAACTCCTCATCAGCAGTGCGCATCCACGATAACTCCCGGAACCCCACAGGATTCGAACCCAGGACCTTCGGCCGTCCACTGCTTCCAGGTGTCTTCTAATTGTATTCTAGCAGTGATCGATTCATGGGTTCAAAAACGTGGAACTTAACAATCTTCACAACTCCGTAATTGAATTGAATTGACTATTCCATCTCTGTGTGTGTGTGTGCGCTAATGTGTCATAGCAACTTGACACACTGATGTACGCACGTACGTACATACCAAGTTCTACACTGTAGCTAACTGACCGACCATATTTTTACCATTATCGAACAACACACAGTCATTTGTTATTTATGTATGATTAGTAAATGTTTTACTTATCATATTCTATTTCTCCCCTTTCCCCTTCTCTTCTCTTCTCATCATTTCACAGATTTATTATCCTTGTCTATTAGAAGCAAAAAAACGTTATGTTGGTTATGCTTATGAAACTGTTGAACAAACGGAACCAATATTTGATGCAAAAGGCATTGAAACTGTACGACGTGATAGTTGTCCATTTGTAGGACAAGTAAGTACAGAAAAAAAATTAACCAACTACTTGCTTGATTAATTATCTACCAAATGATTAGTATTTTATATTTATTTATTAATTGTATGTTGAAAGTTTTTTTTAAGATTCGGCTTTAATGATCAGTCTTACCTCTTGAGATAGCTGAAGGCCGACAGCTTTAACTGGGATTTTGAGATGGTGGAGAAAACTTGTAGCTCAGGTGAATGAGTGTGGTGGTGTTTCGTTTTCTGAGCTGGTTGTTTTGGTTGTAGAGCTTTCATTGTTCTACTGCACAACATCATCATCAGCACAAACTTCAGATAGAAGTGAAGCATTCGAATTTCTCCACGTTTGACCTGTAGCTTGTTCTGCTAACCTCGATCTTGATTGGTTGCTGTTGACTTTTGACCTGCTCAAACTGTGGAAAACACTACATAGGACAAAGTGGACGAGCTCTTCAGCTCCGTTTACGTGAACATCAATTAGCAGTCAAACGCCACGACAACGCTTCGCTTATATCAATACACACCGACAATTATGGACACACTACATTCGATTGGAACAATGTGGAAATACTGGGTAGGGGGAGAACAAAGAACACTAGGGGATTTTTAGAACTCGGCACTCATATCAATCAGCAATCAACAAAAACATCGACATTGACCCAATTTATCAACCAATCAGGAAAATTATAAGTGACATAGGCTCAAGAAACAGTTGAAAAGGGGGATACAATCGAAACAAAGGTACAAACAACGACAGTTCAGAAGAACACCGAAAGCTCCACAACCAAAACAACCAGCTCAGAGAACGAAACACCACCACAATTAACTGGGATTATTTCCTTTAGGGGGGAGAGTATCAATTCTCTCAATATTACAGGAGGTGTACACTTTGTTAACATGTGCCTCAGATGACAAGAATTCAAGATCCAATAGGATTCATTGTCGACTATCCACATAACCAGCAACGTACAGTGAGAATTCTTATATTGGTCAAAGTTAATCTATCGGGATTTTTTTTTGTATAAACATCTTGTAAAAGTTTTTCTTGTGTTTCAGGAGTTTGAGATTAGAGCCAATCATTGTGAAACCACTATTAGAAACCTGGAAGCGTTGGACGTCTTAGTTTCGTTTTAGTATAGAACTCGTCAGTGGCAGTGCGCACCCACGACATCTACTACTCACAGGATTCGAACCCTGGACTTTTGGTTTAACGTGTGAATGCCTAATCTCTGAACAGCTGATCTGGCATCCAACGGTATTAATCTTTGAATTCTGATCAATCTAAGGTTTTGTCTTCGATAGGAAGGAGGTAACTGCCTACAAGCGACAGCGTTGAACTGCACTGGTCACGGCTCCTCACTAGAACTATCAGAACCTCACGAAATTAGTCTCTAATGAGCACGTTTTTCGACTTTGCATAAGATTATTATGGTGATCATAGCTTTACCTTAAAGTCATAAATTCATCATTGTTAGACCACTATTAGAAACCTGAAAGCACTGGATAGCCGTTTCGTCCTAGTAAGAGACTTTTCAGCAGTGCACATCCATTCCGTAATGATTTATGTAAAACAAGTAAACTTGTCTCCTCTATTCCTATACACACACATACACACACACGTACACGTCTGTATTTAATGTAGTCTTACTTCTATGTTACCATAGAAATGATTTATTTCCTGATCTTTCACTTAAATTCAGTTCCTTAATATGCTACAACCATTTCTACAGCCTACTTCAATAGACTAAGCTTGTTGTCGGCCTCACATTGCTCACTGAGAAATTATCAAACAAAAAGTGTCTACTCAATATGAATAAGTAGTATAAATCTATACGCAAAAAAACAAGAAATGTGGGGATAACAATAGGTATTATAAATAACACAGTCTACTATCAAAATGTGTACACTTCCCATTAGCGAAACAAACAGATTATGACTGTGTTCTAATCTTCAATTCAGTAGAAATGAAAGATGTTGAAATTTAATCAGTTTCTGGGTCCACAATTGGCAGTACAATAAGTAAGGAAATTCTCGGACTTCTATTGAGAAGTCATGACCAGTTGAGTTCAACCGTGTTGCGTGTGAGGCAGTTACCCACCGTGTTTGAGGTCGCACAATACCGTAAATTGATTGAATTTATACAAAAACACCATTGAATGCCGGTTATGTGATGCGCGCGAAACCGAAGTTACTGGGTTTGATTCCTACACACGGGGTTCATGAATGCATACTGTTAATAAGTCCTAAACCAGGAAGAAACGACTACGCAGTGCTTTCAGATTTCTACAATTATCGATTTGTGATTTCGATTGTATGAATCGACAGGTCAAAAGTCAACAGCAACCAATCAACACCGAGTTTAGCAGAACAAGCTACAGGTCAAATGTGGAGAAATTCGAATGCTTCAGTTCTTTTATCTGAAGTTTGTGTTGATGATGTTGTTCAGTAGAAGAAGAACAATGATGAAAGCTCCACAACCTAAACACATCCAGCTCAGAGAACCAAACACTATCACCACCACAATCATCCACCTGAGCTACAAGTTTTCTCCACCATCTCAAAATGAATTTGTTTATTGGTTCATTTTTGTTAAATAAGAATTTTTTATTTCACTAATAAAACAGTTGAACATTGAATCAATGATTTCTCGTATTTATTTATGTTTGTACTTAAATTATAGATACTTGAAGATTGTTTTAAATTGTTATTTAATCATTTCACAATGCCAAACACCGTGAACATGAATAATACAGAAATAAATTTACACAAAGATGAAGGTATTAGAATCGTTTTTTCCGTTAATTAAAATTACATATTCTATTGACGATTTGTTACTCTCTCTCTCTCTCTCTCTGGTGTTTTTTGTGGTAGTTGAGATTATGAGCTTTTGTGAGTGAGTGGACGAGCGTGGCGATGTGAGTGTTTCGGTTGTTGTAGACGTGGTAGTGGAGTTGGTATCAGTGTTTGTGCATTGATAGATATAAAGTTGTTGTGTTTTATTGTTTGGTTGTGTGCGGTAAGGTACGTGTGGGTGCGGCAGAGTGTGCCTCCGTGTCGCAATGGGTTAGCGCGTTAAGCTGTTTAAGGAAAGGTTGGTGGTTTAAGCTCAATCGGAGACAGTAGTGACTTTTGACGCCACACATTAACAATATCAGCAATCACTTCATCTCACTTGCATCAATTGTTAGGATATTCATCCAATATCCTAAGAGAATTATTGGTCAATTCCTATTGGTTAATTCCTACTGGTCAATTTTATGGTCGTCCTAGATATCAATGTCACGTGCTCCAATGTTGTTTCTTATTGGTCGCCTTAACTGTCAATGTCACAGACTTCGATGCTGTTTCCTATTCGACCAAAATGTATAAATACACATTATCTGTAACGTTTTATGACGAGGACCCGGTCCTGGACCCCTAATCCGGGATTCTGATTCTCTTCTGGACTCGGACCTCGTACTTTCTGGATACATGTAGAATACATGTTCTACTTCATATCATGTCTTCTTATTTTTACTCAATGTGGGGGTTTGGGATAATCGGATTTGAGTAGCATATCGTGTCGCTTGACCCTCGATACTCGCTCACGTTTTCCGACCAAGGGGTGAACTCGTCATAGTTCAAGTATATCAATTTGACGTGTTTACGTTCAGGCGTGACATAAGTATACGCACACTGGCTACCTCATACGGCTTACTCTCAATACCCGCGTCAACACACCACCTCACTATCGTCTCTCTCCATCCGATGCCTATGCGTCACTCCACCGAACTCAAACTAAATTTACACTCTACCACACCGTAATAAACACTCTCTTCCCACATTCAACTTGTTTTTATAACTTTGATTCACTATGAAAATCGTTGACAGAAGACAGATTTACTTGATAAGTGGTTCACTGTTGTCTATTTAGTTTCAAATATCAGATTCAATATTCTAATGACAAGTATCCTTTTAAATATATAAGTATAAAATCTTGGTTATTGACTTACTGCTGTCACCCTATATAGGGTATAGACAGCCAACCAGCATTCATCAAGTTTGCTCTGTCCTAGGTCTTCCTTTCTAGTTCTGTCGAATTGCTGTATGCTTCCTATTCTCGATGTAGTTTGTTCCTTGGTTTGCCCCTTTTTTCTTTTTGCCTAAGTTATCAATCAATCAATCAGCAGCAACACAGAACTTCGTACGTACGTACATCAGTTCATGTTGCCATACCACATCAGCACAGAGATGCAATTGTCAATTCAAATCCAATAGTAGTAGAGGTAGTAAAGGTATTAGAAGTAATCGGAGAGGTTAGGATTAGAAGATATTATTCAAGAAGTATGATTCAATGAGATAAGTTTAGAAAGACAAAACTAGAGGGGTTGAAGAATCCAGAAGATTAGGATTTGAGAGAACACAAAGAATAAATGCACCGACGCCATTGCAAACGATTTTGAGCCATGTCATTCAGGGTCTCTAACCATCGATTATTATCATCTCGTTGGCCTCAACCAAGTAGTCGATACCTACCGATATATGACTCAATCCAGTTGTCAGTGACTTCATAGATTTGTGCCATGTTTTGGTTTGGCCTAAGTTAGAGCTTGCCTTGTGGTGCAGTTTTGGATAATATCCGTAATATGTGTCCTATTCACCCGCCTGTGCATTTTCTTAATTTCTTCCTCAGCTGAAATCTGGTTTGTTCTCTCTCTACTACAGTAGGTTATTGCTATTGATTTCTGATCAACAACTAAGCAGTATATCTTTTGAATGATAGCTCTCGTGATCTGTGTTTAAAATTTCAATTTCGATGTAGATATTCACCTGATAACTCCAAAATCAACTTGTATACATTTTCTTCTCACTAAATATTAGCGTTAACTCTTAAATAATTCAATTCTAATTTAGTACATGAATGTATTTTGAGTGTTCAATTTAATTTCAGACAATCAATCATATTATAAAAATTTGAATACACAATTGAAATTAGCTGAAAATCATTTAAAATTAAAAATTCAACAATTTGCTTATCGTTTAATACATGGGAAAATACCATTGAATCAATGTATCATTACTAGACCATTTTGGGGTATGTCCTCTTATAAACCAGGTACATATGCACCAGCACTGCAAGTGGCTAAGTAAGTATTCGAATATATATTCAATATTCAATTTTGTGAGAGAATTATTGGTCAATTTATATCAGTTTGTTTCTATTGGTCAATTTTATGGTCGTCCTATTAGATATCAATGTCACATACTCCAATCTTGTTTCTTATTGGTTGTCCAGACTATCAATGTCACTTCAAATGTTGCTTCCTATTGATCGTCTTAAATGTCAATGTCACAGACTTCGATGCTGTTTCCTATTCGACCAAAATGTATAAATACGCATTATGTGTAACGTTTTATGACCAGGACCAGGTCCCGGATCCCTAGTCCGGGATCCTGATTCTCTTCTGGACTCGGACCTCGTACTTGCGGATGTTTGTAGAAAACAGGTTCTACTTCTTATTTTAACTAAATATAGGGGTTGGGATAATCGGATTTGAGTTGGATGTCGCGTCACCGGATCCACTCAATCCTCACTCTCGTTTTCCGACTAAGGGGTAAACTCGTATTATAGTTCAAGTATATCAAGTTGACGTGTTTACGTGCAAGCGTAACAGTAAGCATTGATCTCTTCTTGTTGTTGCTGTTGCTGTGTAGTTTTTGCTATGAATAAATTTTACTCCTAATGAAAATTATTTCATTCCACTCATTCAGTCAGTCAGCTAAAAAACATAGAGCTTCGTACGTACGTACCATCTGTGTGTCAGTGTGCTATATCACATTAGCTCAGAGAGAGAGTGTGTATTATCGAATCGAATTTCATAGTAGTAGAGATAATAGAAGTATTACTAGTGATGGAGAATATTAGGATTCGAAGATATTATTCATTCATCTACTCCAACCGTCGAATACTATCATCTCGCGGACCCCAACTCAGTAGTCTACAAAGTCCAGTTTTCAGTGACTTCATGGATTTGTGCCGTGATTTGGTTTGGTCGCCTCTAAGTTTCTTCCAACTTACTCCTACACCACAAAACATCGCTAGTCGAGACAGTTGGTAATTGAGCATATGTAACACATATTCCAACGACTAAAACCGATGAAGTTTTAATACTTCATCAATTAATCTGCCATCCTTAGTACCTAGTACAATCGTAATAGAGTAACCTGTCGTGTCGCCGGATACTCGAACCTCGCTCTCGTTTATCGGCTAAGGTAAACTTGTAATAGTTCAAGCATATCAAAATGACATGTTTATGTATATGCGTAACACCATCATCCAGAAGATACAAGTGTTCATTAACAGTTGTCTACACAAAAATACTTCGGATCCGTTAGCCACACATCATCAACAAGAACCTACGGCGGGAAAGAACAAACCATATTCCAGCATAGGAATAAATCAGGAAGAAGCGCTGAAAGTGGACAGGATACATATTGAAGAAAGCATCCAACTGCGTCACAAGATAAGCTCTCCTTTGAAATCCTCAAGGTCAAAGAAAAAAGAGGAAGTCCAAGGAACATGCAATGAGAAACGGAGGCATACACGAGAAGAATGAACAAAAATTGGACAGAACTGGAAAGGAGGAAGTCCCAGGACAGATTGGTTGGAGAATACTGGTCGGCGACCCATACTCCATTGTGGGCAACAGATGTAATTAAGTAAGTAAATAAGTTCTCTACCTGTAGTATAGATGTATACAAACAGGTTACTGTATGAACTATAGGCATTGTTAGGCATTTGCTGCATATTTACTTACACCTGTTACCCCTTAACGCTGAGCATAGGCCGTCGACTAACATTCTCTCATGAACATTCCTTTTCAAGTTCTACTCAATTGCTGAATAACTGCAGATGAATTCTTCTCACTGTTATTCAACACAATACTTTTTTCACTGTTTAATACAGGCATATGCTTTGCTGCTCTTCTATTTTTCTAACTAATAGTATTATTTTCACGTTTAGACGTCTTCTTTCAATGGATCCACGCGGTGAACCATTACGTGGTGAACGTGTTGTATACTACATTGCAGCTGGACGATCTGATCAAACTTTATTATCATGTGTACGTAGTATCAATGAGATTTATCCATCTTTATGGATGACTACGACGACGGACAAGTCGACTAATTCTTCATCAACATCATCATCATCACGTCGTCTGTTAGGACCACGTTTAAATTATGCTTATTATTTAGATAAACAATTTATCCCACCAATTGAACGTATGACACAAGTGATTGGTTGGCCAGTTCGTAGTTGGTTAGTTGGGTTTTTTTATTGTTTTGACTGTTATGATGGTGTGATAATGTCCAAGAACTGATCACGATATATGCTACTCGCAGGATTCGAACCTAGGACCTTCGATCTTGCACCTGAACGCTTAAGTTCTGAATCATTGGCCTGGCGAAATCCAACGGTGTTAATGTCAATCTAAGAATTTCGCGCGATCTCACCCATTTGCCCTACACCTGACACGCTGTTGAACTCCACTGGTCATGTCTTCTCATTAGAACTCCGAAGATTCTCTCACAATGCTAGTAGTCACTAGTGTGCATATTGCACGATTTCGCAGTATAGACCGAATGTCCTGGGTTCGAGTCCTGTGAGCAACAGGAGTCGTGGGTGCACATTGCCACTGATCAATAGTCCCATACCAGTACGTGACAGCCGTCCAATGCATCCAGGTTTCCAATAATTCCTTTGTGCTATTCATTCGTTTGCTGTCTACCGACAATTCTCAACATATTGTGTTGTCTATTGCTCTTACGTTTCGAATCAAAACGATGAAACTGACTCATTGTATTATTGAAGAAGATTTTTTCCGTCAACTGTATTCTTCTTCAAAATCAGTATTGTTATAATTCTCTCAGCTGTTCTGAGAATTTCCTCACGAATCTTGTCGGCAATGAGCATGAAATCATTAGACTGATCAGAGTTAGGCACTAACACCGTTGGATGCCAACCCAGTAGTAATCCAGACGTCAGGCGTTCGCGCGCATAACCGAAGGTCGTGGGTTCGAATCCTGTGGGGTCCAGGAGTTGTGAATGCCCACTGTTGGTGAGGTTTCATGCCAAGTCGAAACAGCCGGCCAGTGCTTGTTGGTCTCAGATGGCGATCTAACATTGATCGATTCATGATTTCATGGTGTAAAAACACTGATCTCCATAATACCACAATGCAAAAATCGCAGTAATTCATTCAATATACTCACTAAAGTCGGCTTAATATCAATTAAAAATATCGCTTATCTTTATACTCATCGACCGCATTTGGTTTTCCCTCTCTCTACCTCTCTCTATTTCTGTAAAGGTTATCCGAACTACCTCGTTATTTCACTTCAAAATATCATCGATATATATTAACTTCTAGACCAACTACTGGTCAGCTACATTCAACCCGATCACGTCAACATCCATTCACAGCGAATCGAAATTCACCAGCGTTTTCGCCATCATCCTTTATTCTATCACCACAATCATTATCGTCATCCTCACAGATGAATTGTCGTTCACGTTCACGTACACGTTCTTCATCATCATTAATGCGTGCATTCATTGGTCAACCACCGCGTATTTGTCCAAATTGTTTAACTATAGTACCAAATATAAGTTCTACCAATGAATTAGGTCATTGTAGAACTTGTTTACATGGCAATGCTAGATTGATGAATATTGAAATGGTGAAATTCGGTTGTCAAGTAGGTTGGTGGTAGTTGTGTTGCTTTGTGTTTATTGATTTTTTTAATTCAATTTCTCGAATGTTTGATCATTGAATGTGTTGTTTAAATTGTTATCTACAATAAAATTTTTGAAATGATATGCTACATTTGAGTCTTTTGTCAATTAGTTCCCGACCGAAGCTGCTACCTTGACGTGGTGGTCGGGCTTGCCTATCGTGATGACCCAACCAAGCTATACTGGCTGGAACATATGTTCCCTCAGGTCCTACCATGCCAGGCAGGTCGATTGGAGAACAATCAGACTAAAAGCAGCTACTCAAGGTCTGAGGGCGAAGTCGTACTGCTGACTGCAGAGGGGTGTGACAGCAGTAAGGTGTTTCCCTCGGACAACCAGCATCTGCAGCGATGCTGCCTTCTCACAAGGAAGGACGGGTTAGAAAAGGTCGGCCCTAAAAATGTCACACCTCCCCTAACTCACGGATTTCCGTCTCCTTGGGTAAGGGTGCCCACTAAGGGCCTTTAAGGACGGAGCTAATCCTCTAAATACCTTTCATAAAAAGGCCGTGCGTGACCGGCCTCAAGCAGTTGTCCTTTGGGCTCTGCGGTCACGCACCAACACTAATCCATCTTCCTTTTCAGGTCCCTCAAGAAACAACCTTCCACGGTGTGGGCAGCCGGGAAGTGACAACCGCCCTCATACCCGTAACAGCACGCGAGACCAAATTGGTCAAAATCAAATCCTTCCGTTGTCAATTAGTTACAATGTAGACCTTTGTACGTAGGTACGTACGTACGTACATCAGTGTTCAAGCCATATTAGCACAGAGACACCATTGTCAGTTCAAACTACACGTTGGTAGAGATAGTGGAAGCATTACTCTTAATGGAGAAGATTAGGGTTCGAAGATATTATTCAGGAAGTATGAGCCAGTGAAATTAATTTAGGAAGAGAAAGATAGATGAGATGAGGAATTCAGAAGATTAGATGCACCTGCGTCATTACAAACGATTTTGAGCCGTGTCGTTCAAGGTCTCTAACCATCGGTGGCTATCGTCTCGCGGACCCCAACCAGGTAGTCGGTCTCTGCCGACATGACTAAGTCCACTTGTCATTGATTCCATGGATTTTTGCCATGTTCTGGTTTGGCCACCCCTAATTTTCCTCCAACCCACTCCGACAAAGCTAAATATCGCTCGTCGAGACAGTCGGTGGTTAGGCATATGTAGCATATGTCCCAACCACCTCAACTGATGAATTTTCAATTCTTCATCTATTGATTTGCCATCTCCTAACAACAGCATTGCTCACTCGGTTGTCCTACGATACACGAGTAATGCTTTGACGACATCTATAATCGAGTCTTTTGAATTGAACTCTTCAACAGTACTTACGTCTGTTACCTCCTAATGGAACACTAGCCACTGACCAGTATATTCTCCAAACAACTCTATTCCCTACTCTCCTTGCCAATACTTCCCAATTGTTTTATCACACACTGAAGATTCTAAATTAGGGCTTATCTTGTGACGCAGTCCAGTACCTTCACTACCTCTTCTACTTTTGGATTTGAATTGACAATTATATCTCTGTGCTGATAAGGTATGGCAACATGAACTGATGTATTTACTTACAAAGTTCTACGTTGCGTCTGACTGACTGCAGTCCAGTACTTTCCTCAATTTGTGTGTCCACAAACCATTATGACACTTATGTATATATGCATATATGTAATTCACATTTTGCCTGCATTATGTAAAAATGCCTTTTCACAATATCAACTCATGAAATTCATCCCATTTACACTTACATCTGTTTTATCTCTAATGGAGCACTTGTCTCTGACTAAACAACTCTGTTCTCCATTCTCCTTTCCAGTTCTGACCAATCGCCACCGATCATCCTCTTCATGTCTGCTTCCAATTTTTTGGGAGTAATATGTTCTTTGGTCTTTCTGTTCTTTCTCTTAAGTTTAAATACTTACTAACTTACTCCTATTACCTCTAATGGAGCATAGGCCACGATCGGCCAGCATTCTTCAGCCAACTGCGTTCCAGGCGTTCTTCTCAAGTTCTAACCAGTCACTGTTCATTCTCCTGGTTTATCTGTCTCATATTTTCAGCTCAGTATGTTCTTTGGTCTTTCTCTTCTTTTTTGGCCTTGAGGATTCCAAATGAGGGCTTGTCTTGTGACCCCCAGTTGGTTGATTTCCTCATGGTTTGTCCGATCCACCTCTAGCGTTTAGTCCTCTGCTAGGATCTTGTTTGTTCTCTCCCACAGTAAGTTGCTTGCTAATAATCTCTGACCTACGGATACACAGTTGTCTGCGTAGACAAGTGTTAATAAACACTTTTATCACTGGCTGTGCTCATCCACGATTCTTGTTCGTGGGACTCGAACCTAAGACTTTTAGTCTTGCATGCGAACACTTAACCGCTACACAACTGAATCGGTGGCATTCAGCAATGTTCATGTCTAACTTTTTGATCAATCTAAGATTGTTTTGCGCAACCTCCTCACCTATTGTCCACAATGTGTATGTGTTACGCCTGCACGTAAACACGTCAACTTGATATACTTGAACTATTACGAGTTTACCTAGTCAGAAAACGATCCGATTATTACAACCCCCATATTTAGTTAAAATAAGAAGACGTAATATGAAGTAGAACATGTATCCGAATCCAGAAGAGAATCAGGACCCCGGACTAGGGATCCGGGACCGAGCCCTGGTCCTGGTCGTGGTAATTAAATGTTACAGATAATGCGTATTTATACATTTTGGTCGAATAGGAAACAGCATCGAATTCTGTGACATTGATAGTTAGAACGTCCAATGGGAAACAACATTTGAAATGACATTGACAGTCAGTATGACCAATAAGAGACAACATTGAAGTATTTGACTTTGACAGTTATAACGACCATAATTTTGACCAATAGGATTATGCTTCCAAAATAATAACGATCTCCTTTAACTCTGCAATTAAAAAATTTTTTTTCATTTATTCTCTTTCTAATTCTTTCCACCTTAATACTTTTTTAGATTAATCATGTCCAGTCTTGTTTAAATCGATTAGAAACAATTTGTGCCTATTGTATACAACATCGTAGTCAAATATGTGATCCAACATGGTTATGTAATAATTTCCTATGTCCAATCAATAGTCAACGTTTACTTGTCGCAGCTGATCTAGCTTCATTTTGGACACAATATAATGCTTGTTTGAAACAATTGGATACTATGGATACTTGGTGAAAATTCATTGTTCAATGTGTTGTGTTGTGTTGTGTAGATTGAGATCAAATGGTGTGATTGGCTTATTTTTCTATGTGTCTGTTCTTGTGTGTTTGTATGTCTTCTTCTTTCAAGGACACCAACACATGATGATGATTGGTTCAGTTTTGGTCTACTTTTTTTTCTTCTTCTAAAATGATTTTTTTTAATGATTATTGAGTAATTGATTTATTTATTGACTTATTGATCGATTTTTTACTTGTAATGAAATCGAATGAATGTGTACTTGGTGTTTTAATGTCTTTACTTTTTACAAGCTCTCTACTCGAATACTACTAGTCGAGTGAGAGAGAGAGAGGTTATGGTGAACTGCCCGTCGGAATTCTCTACTTCAAGTAGTATCCGTCAAGGGATGTTCACTCTGTTCATTGTTGTTTAACTTTGTCATTGATATGGTTTTAGAGTTAACATTATTTTAGTCAGATTTTTCAGGGGTGGACATTCTACGGGGGAGGATCGCTTATTGACTTAGAATATGCCGATGACATAGTTGTATTCGGTGAAGACACTGACGAAATGCAGGGTCTTCTGACTACGTTAAGCAACAATGCAAGCATGTTTGGAATGCGATTCTCCTCCTTGAAATACAAAATGTTGCTTCAGGATTCGTTTGCATCGGTATTTGAACTAGTGATAGGGAGTGTAGTTGGGCGTGTCAACCGATTCACTTATCTTGGGAGTCCCATCAGTGCCGATGGCCTGGTGTGTGACTGAATCTCAGCACGGATTCAGAGGGCTCGATTGGCTTTTGCCAACCTGCGTCACTTATGGCGTAGGCAAAATATCCGTTTGATGACCAAAAGATGAGTGTACTATGCAGCAGTTCTCTCTGTCCTACTCTATAGCTGTGAAACATTGCTAGTAAGAGTTGAGGATATTCGTAGGTTGCTGGTTTTCGAACAAAGGTTTCTTCGAAGCATTGCTCGAGTATCGTGGGATCACTGAGTACGCGATGCTGTTGTTAGGAAACTGTTACTAGGTAAAGATTGTAGGTCAACAGATGAAGTGTCGAAACTTCGTCAGTCGAGGTGGTTGGCAACTCACGGTATTTCATGACCTCATCCATACCGTTCGGTAGGTAACTGCTTCACACACAATAGGGTTGGACTCCACTGGTTCGATTCACGCAAGCGGGGACTTGGATGTACATCGTCGATAAGTCCCACACTAGAATGATACGGCTGTTCAAGGTTTCTAATGGTGTTGTAACACTGATCGATTCATGATTTCAGTCAAACTCGCCGATCTCCACAACCCTATATTGTAAATATACTTACTGAAGCATTTTGTCAAACAGCGATCAACTTTCAGGTTGTTTAAGTTGGCTGCGGTGTGAAGTGATCAAAAGTTTGAATAAGTATCAAATCAAATTAAAACGAGACATTTCGAAAAATAATTCTTCAAGAGTATTTTAGAGAAAATCTCATCCAATTATGAATAACTAATATCGATAAAATCCTCTATAATTGGATCAAAGACGATTGGAAACATTCAATGAAATCCGTTAAACAGTTGGAACAAGGGACGCAAACCATGAAATAATTTCTAAATTATCTTGAATCATTTATCGACGCTAAAAATCGATAATGATGAGGCGGCTCCAAACTAGTAATCTATGATCCAAAGTAATATGCCAGCCATCCTTGAAATAAAAATGAAAGTGGGACGACATTATAACAGAAAAAATGAGTATCATGTTATCTGATAACGTTTCACTCATATCTATATTTAGTGTATGAGATTGAGTAACATACACTGTAGTGGACGAGAACACAGGTGGAGCAACCGAATCAAGCTTAACGAAAATTACAGAGTTACTCAGTAAAATAAGGAAAACCAAATCGTAAATCGTTAATTTGCAAAATATCAGTTCATCATATCGAACTGGACTGTTCCTGTTACAAAACATCAATCCATTGTCACTATTCATGCGTTTCATACAAATCCCATTGTGTTCTAACTCTTCCTTTCTTGATCTTCCCGCATCTTCTGCTGTCAGACATTACGTTGACACTCACGTCATATACTACTATAACGATTGTTTCATGCGTAAATTAGGCATGAAGCTCAGCTTTTGAGTTGTCTGAAGCGATCAAAAGCGTCTGAATATCTGGAAATGAAACAGGTTCCTGTAGTAAGCATCCAAGGACTAATATGAAAAACATTTATTCGAGAAACAACTAGGCGCTGAGTGCTCACACATACGGAAGCTGTAGCGTTCAAACGAAGTTTCAAGGAACGTATAAAACTGGGAGTAACAGCTGCAATAAGTTAAAGAAATTAATTTTAATAATAAATACTGTTAGTTTATGTCAGTACTTACGGATGCCACTTACTTATGTCTGTAACCCCTGGTGACACATAAGCCGCAGACCAGCAAATTATTTTTTATGGTTAGCGTTTTTGTGTTTGGCGAGTCGGATTTCCACGGGATGGGTTCGCTTACCCCATGCCCAAATGCTCCTTCTTCATCCGGGTTTGGGACTGACATTAAGCTCAGAAGGGCTGCAGGTGAAGTTTTACAGATATCACTGAAAAATATAATTTGCATTTCACTAGACGCTAAGAAATTATTAAGGATATAACTGTTTACTGAATATCATCAAGTAGTATAGATAAATACACACAAAAAATGAAAGTAGGGAAGAGAATAAGGACAAAGAAGGTCAATGAACTCAACTCATGCGTAACACGTGTAATCGATCGGTAGTCACTGAACGGCGGATAAGTTCTAAAATCACAACATACAAGGTTAGCTGACCATTTCACACCAAGAGAGAACACGAAGTGATAGCCACGGTATTTTTTATTTAAAGATTAAATTACGCGGGTTTTTTACAGAAATGGGATTGCTTTTTTACCAATGTCTTATGAGTCATACCGTAAGTTCACAGCACGGAGTGCTTATTCTTCAGCTTTCATAGCGTTTATGTTTAATCGCAATAGAAAGAAAACAGAACTGGTTAGCAACATCATACATAGTGATTTTAACACTGTTACACATGCTTACGCTCGTTCTTCAGTGTATCTAGTACATAACTGCTGTATATTAGAGTATAATATTCACCGGAACTCTTAGGTGATCATTTCAATTACATTTGTGTTTTTCATCCAGTATGTGAGTTTTTTCCCCCTAAACTGACATGTTCATGCTAGGTAGTTTGAGATAACTCCAACAGATTAAAAGAAATGTAATGTTTGGTGATAGTTTCACTCCAGTGTGTAGTACTTCTTCCATAAATATACAGAAAACTATTGAATGTAAACACTTTTTTGAACGTTACGAAGTCTCAAACAAAAAAAAAGGTTCTTGGTGAAACTCACTTTAAAGCTCAAAATGTTTTTAAATTGGTTGGTTAGTTTAAAAAAAATACTTTCAACCGAAGCTAAAAATCATAGATAAGAATAAACATTAGTGATCTCTCATCATATGTGATAAAAAAATGGAACAGAATGAATAATTTAAACAATTCATAACATCGTTCAATATGTTCAATGTGCCTTGAACATATGCTAACATTCAATAGCGAAGAAAATCCTATATGAACAGTCTGAAAATTGTTTAAACAAAGTATAGTTGTTAGCTTATCGATTTGTTAGTTAGGTGTAAGTAAAGTGGACCAAGTCAATAATTCTTATATCCTCCTAACATAAGTTACCTTTTTCTTATCGTCTTCAATCTTGTTATCATTACTTTAGACTCATGTAACATCATGAATCAGTCATTGTTAGAGCACTGTTAAAAACCTGTAAGCACTCTAGAGCCGTTTCGTCCTGGTATAGGATTACTTATCAGCAGTCCGCATCCACGATTCCTGCTATTTGCGAAATTTTACCTCAAGACATTTGGTCTTGCGCA